ACACAAAACCCCAAAACCCCAAAACCCCAAAACCCCAAAACCCCTAAGAGTCTTAGAAAGATAGAATAATTAAAATTTAATTAACCACTTTTGAGACACAAATGGAACTAGGAGACAACTTTATAGGACAGCAGATGCATGGGGGTAATGTCCTTAAGGAGAGGGGGACTAATGAACAGAGCAGTGTGACTCCTAACCCTTTGCAGAGATCTAATGATGGGACCAATCTTTCAGAATCAGAGGGAATTAATGCTAAGTGTATTAAGAAGTCTAAGGAGGTGAAGCTTTCAGTGAAGAGAGAAAGCTCTGATGACTCTTACTCAAGTGATTTCTTTGAAAGAGTGGTTAAATCAGCAGAATCTTTTGCTTTCTCTGAGTCTGGAGAAGATCTCACCAAGTCAGAGCTTCAAAAGTTGAAGTTCAGTAAGATAATGGATGAGATTCATAGTGAATTCGATATGGGATCCTCTTTATCAAGCCTAGCATCCAATGCAAAAACTCTGAAAATTGTATCAGAGGTACAAAGATTTGCCATAAGCGGATATTTCGAAGGCATGGAAGACTGGGAAAAAATCCTCACATCTCTTGAAGATATCCATACTCGGTAAGAATTCCCTGATCTAAAAGTCTTAAAAATTTTCATTTTAAGAATGTGTCTCTGATCTCACTTTAGTCGTTTGAAACTCAACAGAAGCAGTCGAGATGAATTCCCAGGAAAGAATAATCCAAGGAAGAAGATTCTCAACTTGCTAAAGAAAGATATACAGCGTGTCAAAGAACTTAAGAACTCTTATCTTGAAGAGCATAAAGAGAATGTTACTGACTCTACCGAGCTCTCAGTCACGCCTTACTTCAGTAGAGATATCAAGAACAAGATATTCAGGAAGTTCGTAAAGGAGTCTAAGCTAATGGAAGCAGAATACTTCTTCTTGCACAAGAAGTACAAATAACATGGAGCAAAGAAACAAAGATCTTCAAGAACAAATCAAAAATCTTGCAGGTGTAAATGATGAAATTAATCAAACTAACAGAAGATTACAAACCGAGAACAACTCACTTAGAGGGGAAAAGGAGTGGCTACAAAAACAGATCTTTGAGCTAAAAGGGGGAAAGTCCTCTGCCAATCTTATCAGTAGACTTTTCAAAGGCAAGCAAAAGTAGTATTCAGGTAGCCAAATTAAGATATTAATATTTACAAATTTTAAATTTTATTTCATTCAGTATCTTCTACTTCTTCGGGGTTTTGGGGTTTTGGGGTTTTGGGGTTTTGGGGTTTTGGGGTTTTGGGG